CAAATGACAAATCTATAATTACATGCTTTAAAAACATAACCTTCTATGGTTCTTTTTTCCTTGTCACTGAACGTGGAAGAGGAGATGAAAAGCATCCAATATAGCATTTAATAATAGTGAAGTGAGAGCTGATTGGGCAGGACAATGTTTTAATATTGAAGCATGATGCTATATGTTTGGGGAAATTAGTTGAGTAGGTTTTAGGCAGACATTTTAACACTAAAACATTTATAGGAAACATTTTATTTTTCCTACTAGCCAAAACAACTTGTGCCTACGTTAAGTTGAGGGACAGAAGTAGATTCAGGAGGCTGATAACTGCCCCCTGATGCCTGCAAGGCACCATATTATAAATTGAGTAATTACATTATAGTTACAGTTATGCAATTACTTGTGTTTCAAAGGTACTTCAGATATCTGTACACATGGCTGAGAGAAAGAAAAAAAATCATACAAACATGCTTTTTTCTTCCTTCACAATTAATGCAAAAATCAACTGATTGCAATTCGTGTGCAGGCAGCAGCCAGACCGTGAACTTCAACAGGTAACAAACTGATGAGCAGTCAAGCCGCTCGTTTCTACCTGTTCGTGTTTCTAAAGCAGAATCTGTGGCGATCGCTTTAAAGTCTCTTTGGGCTGGTTTCCATCTTTGCTTTGTGTTGTCATGTTTGTGTTCACATGTAAAAACTAAAAGAAAGACAGTGTGTGTCCTCATTAGGATAGGGCTTTGCGTTGGTGTGTGGGACTGTAGCCACACATCAACACAAATAAAAATGTAAACTGCAAATATACATAGACAATAAAAAGAAAGCTCTGACTGCAGTTCCAAGGCCATAACTATTTAAAGTTTTTGAATTTTACCTTTAATTTAAGACGTTTAACAAAGCTACGGCAATAACTGTTTAGAAATTACAGCCATTTTTATGTGTAGCCCCTATTTTCACAGGCTCAAAAGTAACTGCACAAACTAATATAATGTTTAAAAAACTATACTTTTCTTGATTCTTTCTAATACTTAGATGAAAATCTCTTTCGGGCAATGACTGCCTAAAGTCTAGAACTCAATGATGAGTTGCTGCTTGTTTGTGGGTCTCTCTGCATTCATTTTTGCATTTACTAAATGAAAAGCATGCTCTGCTGGGTTGAGATCAGGCGTCTTACTTGGTCGTTGGAGAATATCCCATTTCTTTGCCTTGAGAAACTCTTGGGTTGCTTTTGCAAAATTTGTGGGCCGTGAGATGCCATCTGATCAGTTTTGCAGCATTTCGCTGAATCTGAGCAGAGAGCCTTGTTACACTTCACAATCCATCCTGCAACTTCTATCAGCAGTCACATCATCAATAAACACTAGTGGCCCGCTTTCTCTGGCAGTCATACATGCCCATACCATAAACTTTCATCCACCATGTTTGACAGATGATGTGGTATGCTTCAGCTCATAAGCTGTTTTTCTCCTTCTCCGTACTTTTCTCTTCACATCATTCTGGTTGAAGCTAATCTTGGCTTCATCTATCCAAAGATTTTTTTTCGCTGTCGTGCAGACTCTTAGATGTTTTTTTGGGAAAAGTCTAATCTGACCTTCTTGTTTTTGAGTGTAATCAATAATTAATAGACATCTTTTGATTGTAGACTTTAATAATGATACACCTCCTCAAGAGTGTTCTTGACGTTGGTTAGTTGTTTTTCTAAATCACTGAAATGAATTTTTTTCCCCGTCATCTTCCACTTTGGCTGTCTTCTGTGGTCCTTCCAGCCTTTTGGTGTTGATGAGCTGGTCAGTGCATTCCTTCTTCTAAAAAAGTACCAAAATGTTGATTTAGCCACTCTCAAAGTTTTTGTTATCTTTCTTATAGGTTTATTTTGGTTTTTCGGCCTCATGATGGTCTCCTTCACTTGTGTCAACATCTCTCTGAGCCTCATATTGAGTGTTCAAGCGAACAGCAACCAAATGCAAATTTAACAGTGGGAGTCAACTCCAGATCATTTATCTTCTTAATTTGTCATGAAATAACAAGGGAACAGGCCATGAAACCGCTTGTCAGTCAGTCATCCAATGAACTGTTTAAATCCTAAACAGTTAATGCAATATTTTTGTGAAAGTCTACAATCATCAATCACATATTGATTGTTTGATTTCAAACAAACTGCGGCATTGGACGGAAGCATTTTTTAAAATAAAGAGTCAATGTCCAAACATTGAATGAAGTGAAGTGTAGTTATGTTTTATCTGAATCATCTACTTTAAGACAAATGGTCCATACCAAAGCCGGTGGTGCCGTAAAAGCGTGCAAATTCCAGCACAAACTCTATTTTGTTTTTATAACTTCAGCTATCAGCGTTCATATGCCAGATTTCCGTGGGGTCATCTCTGTCAGATCATTATAGTGATAATAATAAGAGTCAGTCGGTCTTCCAACCTCCGGTTCACATTGGTCCAAAACCGCCCACTTAAATAAAAAGCAGTTTGCCCTCTCAGCTGATCTGTTTCATCAATATAAAATACAGAGATCATTAGAAAGCTAAGCTATATCACAGATCTTCCCGTGTGTGCAAATGTGCACGTCCGCTCACACAGTACATCCATCTGTTTGTGCATATGTAAGTTCATCTGCGCACAAACGTGTGAACGGTCATCTGTGTGTATGCTAAGTTGTGCGTGCGTAGGCGTAGGGGGAACCTGATCTGGTCTGTGTGGGAGGAACCAGTCCCCCCCTTTAGTATCCAGACAGACGGCCTGCTAGAGAGATCAGACTGTCAGACTAACTGGACCAGAAGTCATTAGGACACGCTAGACACACAGAGCTTTTTCAAAGCTATTGCTTCCTTTTAAAAAGACAAAAAAAAAAAAATATCCCAGCAGTAAGATTATCTACATTTCATCGGCTCATGATAGGACTAAGATCTTTAAGACATGCGGTGCTTTTCAGATCTTTTTCTCAGAAACCTATAAGCAGCAGGGACCACTTATTTTGAATCCGTGTCCTGAGATTTAGTCTTTTGTCATCCCGCGTTACGTTTTAGAAGAAAAAAACTCGTAGGGCATATCAAACAACTGTATTCTTTGGTATAAGCGATTATAGGCTTTGAAGCTATCTTTAATTTAGATTTTAATGAACTTTCAGACGACACGTTTCTCTCCTTCATCACCTTTGTGAGTTGTTTCTTTAAAGCGTGTGTCCTCTAAAAGACATCCATCTGGGGACATATTAACTCTAGAACTGGCTGTGAGTCCCCAGTAGTGATATAATTTGGGGGTGTTTGTAAGATCTGACACATGCACACACACAAAATAAATCAGCTTTGTTTTTCAGCACCATTTCCACTAAAAGCTGTTTTTTGGCAGTGGAAAGTGGCATTTGAATTTTTTGTTAGTTGTTTTCCTTCATCGGGCACTTGTCACATTGTAGGAAAAAGCTCGATAATTGGCACCTCAGTCGCAGAAACAGCTTGTTAGCGTTGTTAAAAAATAATTTGGGAACACCGAACTAGTGCAGCACAGCGGTTAGCCTCCATTAAAAGAACAGGCTCAATTTACATTTCTTTTAATGGTGGAAAATAGCTTAAGAAATTCTACTGTTATATGACTTTGGGACACCAGTGGCATTATAAGATTTTAATACTCTTCATGCTGGATAATATATCACCCAGATGATGCAACATTTTCAGGTAGCCATAACTTCTATCCTCTGACCTTGAAGATAATGTAGGAAAAATGTGTAGTAGTCACACGAGAAAGAAAAAGATAAATTATTATTTTAAAAAAGAGAATATGCTCAAAAATGAAGGGCAGAATCTACATTTTCCATCACAGCAGTTGCCAGACTGGAGGAGATGCTGCATGAAGGTGATGGAGGACACAGAGTCAGAAACACTGGAAAAGGCAGCAGAAAAAATAAGAAAACAAGTAGATGATGTATGGATGCATCAATAAAAGGACAAGTTCAGAAGAATGTAGCTGGTGTGGGGCTAAGCACACTGGAAAGCCATCAACAACCAGACTCTGGGCAGTGGCACTCCAGGGAAAAGAGAGGAAGAGCAGAGGAGAAGAGAGAACAAGCATGTGGAAAGGTAAAGAAGAGGACAGCAAAGGGACAAAGGCAGATGTCCAAGTAGCCAACCTGCAGATTCAATTTTGCTCATTTTCCTCCCCTCTCCCTTTGCCTTGCCTTTTTCTTTCCTCCTTAAGCCTCTGTTGCCAACCTCATCTGCAACTTTAGTCAGTCTGAGCAACAGCAGCACCAACTAGAACCGAGTTCTCGAGGAGAGAAGGAACAAGCATGTGAGAGAGAAAGAGAGCGTCGCAGGTGAATAAGGGTAATTAGGTTTATGTGAGCTATGGGATCAGACAGAGAGGAAGTTCCACTTAATTCTCTCCACCAGCCACAAAAGGATAATACAGCATTGATTTGCTATTAAAATATATCTGCAGCTCACCGGAAAGTCACGGTGGAAACTTCTACAACGTTTATTGGTTGGGACTGGCAAGAATTAGGAGAACATTTTAGAGTACAATCTGTTTAACATACCAGCAGCATATGAATGAAATTTAATCCCAGATATACAAACAATTTATTGCTCATCTTGAGTTAAGTTCAACTCTCAAAAATGATTATTAGAAATAACCAATGCCAACAATGTTCCAGCATATTTTTGTGATGTCATATAGCCAACGATTGTACCTCAAAACGATGCACATTGTTTGTCAAAAAAAAGTCATATAGCCGTTAAATAACATAGTTTCATTATATAATGTTATGTCACATAAATATACATTTATACTTCAGTTTACACATTAATAACACACAGCTTTTCGGGAATACAAGTTTATGAGTGTGTTTTCAGATCATGTGCCATAAGTTCTCAGAGTCACTGATACAGTCAAGAGTCTTTTATAAGTGGTATTAAGAGGTTCTTGGTGGTGTTGGTATGCATGTGAAAGCCATTTGAAAGTTCTCAAACTCTAAAATTTTTTTTTTTTTTTTTTAAAAAGGTCCTTTAACAAAATGCAAACTTTAGTTAAAATGTTCCTGGAAAATCCTGGAAGTGCTACAAGGAGTCCTTCAAAAGTCTTTGAGTCTGGTTAGTCTTCAAGTTGCAGTAATTTTAAAAATCGCTGTAAGCAAGTGATGAGCATTTTATCCACGTGGCTCGTGTCGTCGTTGTTAGCTCCTTATGGCGGTCTTCCTGTCTCTGTCTTTATTCTGCAAGAGACAGAAACAACATCTCACATTATTGACGGGTTCACTGAAATCAAACTGAAACAACAGTTTGGGTTTTGCTCTCATGAGTTAGAGCTGGAGAAAACTTAAACGGTAGGTGGAAAAAAGGCTAACTGCCATCGAAGATTGATTCTTTATGGATGTTGTTGGTGTTTTTACTTGATATATTTCATAGATTTCTCAGGAGGGTGGCTTCAGAAAGTCTTCCCTCCTGTAAGTCGACTTTATCTGTCCAGTCTCACAAATATAAAAAACAATTTGAGGTAAGATCAAAGAAACAAACTTCTTAATCATCATTTCATGAAAATTTGCCAGTTTTGATCGAAGCTTTCTCTGGTTTCACTAACACAAGTATTCTTTACGTTTAATGAATTTATTCAAACCATATTTCATCACAGAGGCTCTAAAGAAGCCCAGCAATTTTACAGTAAAAAAAAAAAAAAATCATAACAGGTAAAAAAGATGATTTTTTTTTTAATGTAAACCATAAAAAATGCACTCAACAATATATGGTTTCGTACTGGAATCACTGGCACAGCAAGTTCATGTGGTTTTAGATGTACTCTGCTTTTAGTTGATGGGAGAGTAAATTAGCCTTGACTGCGTGCAGCAAACTCACATAAACACATTCTGTAATGTAGCACACAACATTAATTGTGGTGGCAGAGAGAAATGAGCTTTTCTTTAATACTATTACAGCCTGCAGATTGACATCATGAGCTGGTTCATGACAGCAGAGCATGATGATATGCTTCTCATTTATCTGTGGTATCAGAGCAGGAGGCCCTGATTTCCTGGCTGGTTGGGAGACCTTCGCTATCTGGCCAGGAAAATAACATCACTTTTTCCCTCTTCACCTAACCTCTTCTCAGCTCACTTGGGCCATCTACCACTGGCTTTTCAGGCAACAGTCAAGGGATTTTATTGAACACACCACTGAGTGATATGCAACACATATCATCCATGCTTTTGTAAAAAAAAAATTTAAAAAAGGAGAAAAAAAGACTGATGTTTTAAGGATTAACTCATAGCTGACAACGGATCTTTGTTATTTAATTCTTCAGCTGAAGAATAAGGCTACCATTATCCCATATGCTAATATAAGCACTCATGTCCTCTCCTGACTTTTCTCTACCCCCTCTCATATCATCTCAACTAACCCTCTCTGCCTCCCACTTTCCTTTCCTCTCATCACGCCGAACACCTGTTACACATTTCCTCTCAGACGGCGCACAAGGTGTAGGTGTTTGGAAAAATCCGTTTGCCTGAGATCAACATAGGTGGGTTGGTGGTTGGAAGGGTATCAGGCGGTAATCAAAGAATGAGATCATAAGACTTGGACAGGAATTGGTACTCCCACTGACGGAGGTGAGTGAGTGTGAGGAGACGCAGAAACTGTTGTTGTCAATCCTTCCTCCAGCTGGATCAGCAGAGGATCATTAGATTACACTGCAATTGAACCATTACCGTTGCTAGACATGAATCATTACCACTGTGTTACTGGCTGCGAGTGCAAGTATGAGCAACACCAGCGGTATAATTTAGTATGTAGTAGCCACGCTTAAAAGCAGCTACTTCATGTGACCAAATGTGTCTTATTTGTTCTTCTGTTGTCCTGTTTTCAAAACTAAGTAGATAGTAGATGAGATATTACTAGCATAAGGAAATATAAGAACATCAATCAGCACATGTAGGGTTTCCTCATTTGTAAAGACCATAGAGGTCTTTCAGCATTAATCCTAATGCAAATAAGCATATGTTTACCACCATTTATACTCTCAGTTGCCTTCTGGATTGTTTGTACCATAAATAAATAAGAGGCACTTATATCATATTAAGAGTTTCTTATGACCCAAAGACAAAACGAGTGGGAGAAAAGGACAGAAAATCCTTATTTTGTTGGTGTCCGTGGATCCCATCTGTAGATTTGCTCTTTTTTGCTGAAGAGCGCAGTTTTATAATTTATAGTAAATCTCTTGGCTGTGATTCGTGGAGCGCTGGGGGATCCCCCCACATTAAGAACCCTTGCTTCAGGCACAAATCCATTCCTAGTACAACTGAAGAGTCTTGATATGATCACCGTAAAAGATTACACAAGACTAATGATCTGCCTCAAATTATCTGTCAGTTTAACCATCTGACATGACATGTAGTCTTGCTCAGATGTCTATTTTGTGTCACTTACAGCCTGGAAAAACCTCGGCTTCATTGACGCTGTGATCTCATTGTGCTTGTTCCCTTTCACAAACCATCAAAACCATCAGTTGGAAGACAAAAACGCAGCCATGCTCCTGGGTGTTTGTTGGAAAGCAACGGGGAAAATTAAAGGCATTTGTCAGTGGAAGGAAAAGTACTTGAGGCAGTTTAGAGTTAAAGTGGGTACGTGAGAAATTTCACTTGAAACCTGTGTGTGAAAATTGGATGATTTCCCAAATTACATCAAATTGCAGCGGAATCGGTAGGAATCAGCCCACGTCTCATTGTTAGTGCTCCGTGACAGTTTAGAGGCACAGCTGTAGCTGGTGTAGGCGGTTCAGCTGGAGTGAAGCCGGTTCAGTCAAAACAGAAGGTGGAGGGGATTTGGGGAGGGGGGCTTTAAGGCCGGCCTGGTAGTCAAAACAATCTCCTGAAGACTAATAGGGCATGCTCGGATGACATCTCTGCTCTCTCTTTTCTCTTTCCAAACAGGCTTGTGCGCACACACACATACCGCTGTCTTCCCAGGAGGCCGATTTGTCTGACATTAATATGATTACCTGCTGATGTTTACTTTAGATATGATATGATGATACTACCAAACTTGAACAATATTTTTGGACCAACAAGGAGAAAGCAGCCTGTCTTAACCCTAATGTGAAGACAGTAAACACTGTCTTCACAGCATCTTATCAAGTCCACAAATTCAGTCTTTAGTATTGTTTTTCCGAAACCCAATCCTGCCGTTCCTTCACCTATAACTGGATTTTCCATTCTCTTTTTTTCCTGTGTTAAGCTGTTCTGTCAAATACAAACATCTAATTTAGTTTCTGGCTGCACGAGGACAGGAATGACTGGTTGGAAAAAATAATTTCTACTTGGGCACTGGCCCGCAATCGTATAAGGAGATTGGTATTTAACCATGAAATGAAAACTGGTAATATCCTTTCAGTTTAGCGAGTGAAAGTATGTGTATGCGTCAGGGCCTCTGGTGGCTTATAGAAGCTGTAATTTCCCCCATAAATGATCATTAATTGATAAATAAAACATAAGAGACTTCAATTGAGTGAAATAAAACACAAAATAAGGCCCCAGTCTGCCACTACGTGACTTGGACACATCGCAAATTCATGTTCATTGCAGCTTTGCCAGTAAGCATGGCTCTTGATTAATCTTAGATTGCCTAATTAGATGCTGCTTGCACCAGGCAGCCACACATGTACTTTATTTTCCCCAGCATTTTAAAAATCTGTTTTAATGACTCCATAACAAGCCAGACTTCATTTTCACTAGTCTCAGATGACTTAATTTTGCTACATTATGCACTAACCAGCGCTTGATCATCAGTGCTAAGATGTAGACCCTAAAAAAACCAGTATGTCATTAGCTTCAGTACATATTGTTTCAAGAAACAGCATAAATCCTGCTTTGTCGCTGTGTTTCTCTAAAGCCTGGCTCGACTTTCTGTATTTTTGCTTTCATTTTCTGGGTGAGCGGCCCTTTCCCCAAAGACCGAATGGCTACAGAATGATAGTTTTGCTAATAGATTTTGTTAGTTATCTGACCCGGCTTCTTCTGCTGGTGTTAAACTAGGATTTAACCGTTTCCATCTGTGCTGAAAATATACAGACAGGTCCACGCTCGAGGGCACACACTCGTACACAAACTCACACACACCGAGCGTGGCTGAGAATACATTTAGACGCTGCCATCAGCGTGTTAGCTGCCTTCGATGCACCTCATTAGCATAGCGAAGCTCTTGCTCACGAGGCACGAAAAACATTCCCTCCAACTCAACGCTAGCATTATCAGCAAATGAGGGCAATTTAGTTTTCATCTATGACGTTCTACCGAGACGTCGACTCCGTGCACAAAAGTGACGCAATGCTTTTTTCCAGTGAAAACAGACTAATATCCAAATAACTGCAAAAACCGCAGTCATTAGCGCGGCCCCGCACATGTCCTATGCATGCATTTAAGCCCTCTTTAGGCCCATGGTTCATTTGATCTCTATAAAGAAGCAAAGTGTAGTTTGAGCACAGCCTAAAAACCAACTGTCCAAACTGGAGGATAAATAGCTAAGTTGATTATCCCGCTGAGTCGTTGGCTATTTCTCTTTCTCTCTTGCTCTACTTCTCCATCTCTGTTTCCACAACTTCCTGCACACCATTAGTTTAGAAAGTGTTGAAAACGCAGTCATGATCCAGAACTCCTTAACTAAGTAATCATATTTAAGACCTTTTTTTTCTCTTTTTTGCACGCTGTCTAGAAGTGGTGAACGGCTGTCTGGTTGGAAAGACTAGGAGGTAGGGTGAAATGCTTTTGATAAAAGTGTCTGAGTGCGGTGGTGTGCTGTGTGCCCACATGTGTGTGTATATATATGTGTGATTGGTGTGGGCGTGAGCGTAAGCAGGGAGGGCGTTTCACAGTGAGTGGTTTCCAGGCTCCTTTAACATCACCATCAAAGCCCAACGTCAATGTGTTTCTAATAGCAGCCGCTGAATTAAACACTGGCTGTATGGCCTCAGCAGAGGATAAATCATTTACAGAACAATTAGCTCATTTGTTGCTCCGCTCTGTGCTGCCAATGACTTCCAGACACAGAGAGCCAGCCAGTGTGTGTGTGTGTGTGTGTATCTGTCTGTGAGTGTGTTTGCAAGGTTGCTGCTTAAGACACATTAAAAAATTCACTCTAGATGTGTCACTCACATCCGTCTCATGCAAAAACAAATGCAAGTGGTCCTCGCCCTCACACCAGCAGAGAAGAGGTGTGTTTCCAGTTGCACAGTGAGATTTTAGTGCCCCCGTCTCTCCATGCACATACAAAAATCACCATGCGTAGTTGTGCTGCAGCCGAGATATAAATCAGAACCGTTTGCGATATCAAAGGCAGAATGCATTGTCTGCTTACGTTTGCTTTTTGATTTCCAGAAATTCCAAATAAATGACCTCCGTTGAGTGCGAGTAAAACTCTGGGCCGTGCCTTAAAATGCTTGTAAACGCATCTAAATTTAACCATTTCAAAAGAAGCGCTGGTCTATTTACACCAACCACACCATAAGCACCAGAGCAGTTATATTTTCACCAAATTTTTCTTTCATTTTTTTTTTTTAAATTTTGTTTCCGAACATAAGATGTTGCTTTTAATTAATCAGACGAGCTTCTTCGAAATTCAAATGATGGAAAACGCTTGGGCACGTCACATCCAGCTTGAAAGGAGAATGCAGTGTGATTGCTCTTATTGGCAGACGAACTGCTATTTCTATTTACTTTAGCCCTTTGAATTGAATTAACCCGCTCTCTGTTTCGGGCCAAAAGAAATAGGCCACAGTTGAACGCTGCGGACTAGAGACAGACAGATTAGCACATTTTAAAAGATGTTTGTTTTGAATCACGTTTTGCATAAATTCAGATTGTAAAATAAGTGCAGCAGACAACCACCTCAGCACTTTCACCATCACTGAAGGTGACCTCTACCAGATATTGACTTAAGACAATAAAGAGCTGATTATTATAAAAGCTGCCACTGTGAGCTTCTCCTGTCACATGTTGAGTCCAGGCATCTGACAGTTGCACTGACAGCAAAGAGCCTTTGCACAGGATAGCTGCATCAATCAAGTAGACAGCACGGGGATTTGAGCCGTGCTCGGCTCACCTCAGTCGTCTGTCCTCAGTATTGTACATCTCATTTACAGATGTAGCCATCAAGCATGTCCCCCCCTTTTTTAAATCCAAGTATCAAAGGCACCAGCATGCAAGAGCTGCTATCCACTTTGTCTTTGCCAAACTGCGTGTGCTCCACCCCTTACACATCAGATTTTTGCTGTGATATATATGAACATTCAAGGAGGTATTTGGCATCAAAACAAAAAAGATACTGAGAGTAAATTTCACAAAGTAGCTTTTCATGCTTCACCTGACACTTTAGGGCATCAAGAGAGAGATTTTGTTCTTTATGTTGGCATAAAAAATTAAAAATAGATACATTTTTTTTCCGGACAAGCCTCTACTAAACCTCTCGAATTTTTCAGACGACTTGAAGGTGGGTGAAAATTTTTAACCTCAACTCTGACAAAAAAAAAAAAAAAAGACCCGTCATTCATCAAACGGCTGACATTTGACGACGCAGCGATATTGAGAGGGTTTTAATCATGTTCTGTATCATTTTCAGGAAACTCACCGTAAATGAGTGAAATTCATTTTAAAGCTCCTTAAGACATGTGTATAAAGAACCGACACATAATGAAATCCCATCACTATTCCTCCGACTCTGTAAGATGTAAAGCGTAGCACTCCGTGTGCAGTAGTCATTACTAACAACACTGTTTGTTTTGAAACAGTTATACAGTATTCACACACATAATAAGAGGAAATGAGCGTATACTTTTCTCACTTTCGCCCTCTCCGACGCTGGAAAGAAGTGTAACTGAAGCAGCTGGTCTAAGCAGACCTGACAGCTGTGATGAACCTCAATGACCATAAAAACATACAAAGAGAGCACTCAGGACACAAAGTCTCATTTTACCTTCACAATCGTTTCCTCTCTGTAATCACCAGCACCGACTCTGCTCTTTAGCCCACTTAGACCCACTGTAGCCACTTTTCCAGAGAAAACGAAATGCTCTCAGGTTCTGCCAATCAGAGGAGGCCAAATGAACCTCATTTTTCTCCTAAAATATATTTTAGATAATTGCATCGATTTAATTTGGAAATTGCACAATAAACATTCAGCGTGGATACATGAGCCTCTTTGCACTGCGTGTGCCGATATGATGGCGAGGAGGAGCACTGGAGCCTGGTGGAGTGATATTATTATGACTCCACCGGGCCTTTGTTGAAGGGTCCAGCTAACAAGTCCTGTTCTTGTATCCAAAGCCCAGCTCAGCTTATTCCTGTGTGCCAATACAGCTTAACTTTAAACATAGCCACACAGTGTATGCTGTACTTGTACCCACACAACATCCTGCTGCTAACCGTCTAACTAACCAAGTGAAGATTAATCCACCACTGAAATTAGACCAAGAAAGTGCACCATTTAACATTTTTACTGGTTGTATGCAGTAAAAAAAAAATGCAATATAGAGTAAAAAAAACAAAACACTTCACATTGTGATACTGATAAGCTACTAAATTCACTTTAAGCAGAACTGCAAAGACATTATAGTTGTTTGTGTGTGATTCATAAAACTGTTTGCATAAACCAAAACTAAGCAACCATTTCTACACCCTTGTGCTAACTCATCTTCTGTCTTCTCGCTTGCGATTCTTCTGGATTCGTTTGGGGAAGTCAGCCAAGTACGCTTGATGCAACGTACACAGCACACAGGGGAGAATAATGAGACTTTTCATTGAGCTACCGGGAAACATCATAACGTGACTGACAGTGTGTAACACAGAGTAAGCTGAAGTGTCTGCGCTCGAGTGTTTTGACATGAGAAATAGTTTTCTACCCAGCATGCATTTACAGGTCAGTCATGCAACCACAGCAGCGAGCTGACAGCAGCAGATAGTATTACAAAGCTCCTACTGGCAGCTCTGACCTCCATCAGGTCGATCGATATGCACAAAGGTGGTGGTGGTGGTGTTTGAGGGGAGCCGGGGTGCACATATTGAAGGTGAAGAAATGAAACAGAATGAGATGTTTGTGAGGACAAAGGAGGAAGTGAAGGAGTCAGCGAGGACAGACAGGTTAAAAAAGAAGGGAAGGGGTACAGGTTTCAGGCGAGTTATCTGCGAGCTGAGGACGTCTGGGTTTGGACGCTCAGGACGTCTAGTTTTTCACTCGCAGAAGTTTGGAGGGGTGGGGGGGGGACACTAAGACTGCTGAGTCTCAGGTTATCCCCCAGCTAAAGGGTCTCTGGGTTGAGACACTGAGGAGGGTATTAGCTTTCACACACTGCTGGGGTAACGGCGGAGTCTGCCAGATGTCAGCCCCTTACCCATAAATCCTGCTAAATGGGCGGCAGCTATGGGCTGGGGGGGGGGAAGTCAACTCTTTATCATCTTCTGTAGCATTTGTCAAAATCAGAACTGGGGTCATATATATTTAACTTCACTCAGCTGATCCCTCATTTTCTGTATTTTCTCATCAAGCTGATGATTTTCGTCTGCGAGAGTGGCTTTGATTATGTTAATTTCCCGCGATGACTCAATCAAATATGAGCAGAAGCAGGTTCGCCCTAAGGTGTAGCTTATCCATTTTAATAGTTGTAGAGAAATGTAGATTTTTATCAAGATTATTGACAAAAGTGGAGAAGAAAAATTGGTTGTTTTGGGTTTTTTGCTCTAAAATGTTATCGATTCTCCACCTACATTTTGTCCTGTGACTGTGACTTTCACTGGAACAAAGTAATTGCCAGTTACCAATTTGTATCTCTCAGGTCAATCTCGAGATGTTATGATTAAAACCTTCTCGTATTCGGGCTGACGTCAATGCATTCTTGAAATTATACGCATGGTTTTGGACGGATTTCACGGGCTCCTGGTCATAAATCTCAGTCACTGCATAAATACCCTTGTAAACTCTAAATTCATATTTTTTAAAAAGAGAGCACAAACAACACCATAGATGGGTTTAGACACAACACTCGTACACATTTAGTCTGGAAAAAGCCTGCGTGCTGTTTGAACCCAGCTCTCGGAGAGAAAAACAACCACTGCTGTGGACTGTAATGCTCAGAGATTTTCAGAAACCACCTGCTTGATTAAAACTAACCCCCGATGATACAATAACACTGAGTCCTTTAAAAAGGTTTTGCTTTTACAGTCCCTCTGGGCCAATCTGGTTTATGGGCACATTCACTGATCTCAGGTCAGCTGTCCTAAACCACCACACAGTGTCTCCGACCGCACTGGTCTTCAGCTAAATCTCTATCATTTGTATTTTGGAAAATTTAACAAAGACGAATAAAAAAAACGCGACTTTTCCCGCCATTTAGTTTTAGAGGATTTTTAAGCAAAACGCACTTTTAACTTAATGTTTTCCCCGATTTCCCTCTTCTTCTTTAACTGACTGAGAGTTCGTTATCCGCTCACCATTTTCCTCTGGTTACTGAGGCAGAAGGTACAGATGTGCTTGGGCTGCGCTGATTGGTCGGATCCTCGGTTGGGGGAGGAGCTGACATGGAAAAACGGCGGTGAGGGAGCGTGGCAGGGCTGTCCGTCATGAAGCCCTTCGCCCAGGAGCAGCACGTTACCCAGATGGCTTATGTAGCTGCTGGCCAAACGCAGCGTCTCGATCTTTGACAACTTCCTGCAATCATGAAAACAGTTGTGGTGTTGACAGAGGAAAAAAAGAAATTTGGAGGGTAACGTAAAGATATCTGCCTCATAGGATATGTTCAAACCTGCAAGAGAATGATGCTAGATGCTAGAATTTTTCTTCCCTGTTCGAGTTTGGAGAGTTTCAGATTAAAGGCCTAAATATAAAATCATCATTTATTTGGCTCTCCAGGTGGAAATCATTCTGTCCCTGTCTTATTTGTGCATGATGTCACAAAACAGTAACTCATGCAGGTCTTTACCTGTCTGCAGGCTCGGTGGGGATGAGTGTGCGCAGCGCTGTAAATGCTGTGTTGACAGAATTGGTGCGATCTCTCTCCCGCGCGTTGGCCGCGGTCCTCTGGCGATATTCCTTAGGTGGAGATGAGTCCGGGGGGACCAGTCTCGCGGCCATGCCCCCTACTTCTATCCCTCCGCCTCCTCCCCCGCACAGCTTCCTCTTCCTGTTCACCTTGATGTGAAAGGCAGATGGGGAAGACGAGGACAAGCGAAAGGCGGCGTTGGAGGAATTGCTGGTACGCTCCTCGGAGCCCGAGCCCTCGCTGCCGTTCTCGTCATCGTCTTCGGAGAGAAGGGCGATGTCGCCGTACAGGAAGCGGCCCGCGGGGGGTGCCGTGCGCAGCATGGCGAATGTCATCTTGGGCGCAACAGCGTGACAGTTACCGGTCAGTCTTGTGGGGGCTTCCTCAAGGCAAGGTTGAGCTGATGAAGCTTGTTGGCTGAAGCTGGCTGAAGGTGTCCACCAGAGATATTTCCCCCAAAACTTCTCTTCTTCACAAAATAAATTAAGCCAGGAGAATTGGATGTTTCCCTTGCGAGTCTAATTTGCCTCAACTTGTAATCTCCCCTTATTGAAGTTGATCCTAAAGCAGGTTAAGAGGTCACGACAACTTGACCTCAGAGCACTCGGGTCATGGACAGCTGCAGGTTCCAAGTCCTTCTTGTTCTTTCTGGATCTATTCACATGCACTTCACATCCCAAAGATCTGTGTCTCCTGCAGCTATCACTTCAAAATAAGAATCAAAAAATCAGTTTATACTTGCATGTTGAAGCAAAAATTGGTCTCGTCTCTCATTGCTTCTCTGCGCGTCTTTCTTTGCCCTTCGTTTCTATATTTGCCCGTTTCAATTCCAGGAACGACTCTGCGCCAGCCGCCTCACTCTCTCGTGCTCTCTGTCCTTTCTCCCTCTCTGTGTGTCTCTGCTCCACATGTGCCTGCAGTCTGAGTGTTTCCGTCTGTCTCTGGTCTTAAAGCCAGTGGGAGGGCAAAAGGACTGCACTGCTCCTCCCTCTGAGCACTGAGGGTCCCTTGGCTGCTCTCTAGAAGCAGGCCGGAGAGACCGGAGGCAAGAGGCAAACCATCCGCAGGAGTTTGTTTTGGCTGCATGCTGATATGTTCCAGGGGAAATCCACCCTAAAACAGATCTTGCATCACCCACGGGGCCCTCTAAAATTTAAGAAATACGGTCGATGTGTTGGATAAAATGCTGTCATGTGGCATTAGTAATAAAGCTGTTATCTTGGACGGTACAATCAGATGTCAGGTTGATCTATTTCTCTATATTTATTTTCTTTTTTCCACAGAAATGTGTCCAGAATCAAAGTTACCAAACTGTCTTTTGAAGAACGACCGAATATCTTTAAAGAATTTCTGTTGTGTTAACTTGTTTTCAGTTTCTCACGTGATATGTTCTTCCTGGTTTCTGTCATTAGTCTGACAGGGCACACTACCAGCAAGAGGTACAACTGGGTTTTGCGTTTGCAGGAAAAAAAAATCATGTTTCGTTCAACCACTTCCTCGACTGCAGTAAGCTGTGAAGACAGAGTGGCGAGTGTGAGTGTTTTTTCTTTCCCTCCGTCTACATCTCTGATTTCATCCCGGGACAGCTGGCCGGGAGGCATCGCTGAGCTCATGGATGACGCCAAAATGTAGGTTTATCCGACCGCAAGACTTTTATCTGTACGAGCTGTGGCACTAAAGAGCTTTGCAATGTATCTATCCTCATGGGACTCAGACATTTAACGTGAATTTAAGGTTCATGCGATTGGAGATTGTAGTAGGAGAGCTGCGACTTTAAACTGCCTTCATCTATCTGTCATCTTCTCTTCGAGAAGGAAGTTAATAGTTCAAAACGAGGTACAGCAAAGGAAGCGGAGACAGAGGCGAGAAGACAGACACAAGTGGGAGTAAATTAGCAAGAGACAAGGCAAGGAGCGTCAAAGTCTAATTGTGTTTTCTGCTTAAACTCTTTGTGATATTATTAGTCATGATCGCGCAGCTTAACTCTTATTGCCAAGAGACTGTGTGACCTTTATGTGTTTCTTCCTACTTTAAATGTACAGCGGTTAAAGGTTGACAACCTATGTAAAGCTCAGCTATGAAGTCTGTAATCCTCAGCAGTACCTCAGTGAAAACTCTAAACCCAACTGCCATTACTGGTATGCCTCTTTTGTGTAGATTGGCAAGAGTAAGCTGCTGCTGAAAACTAATAGCACAATGAATAATCTGTCAGAGTTACACAATGTTACAGTCGGCATTCATCACTCTCGATTTCTCTGTCTTTTTCCCTCTTCTGCCCGTATTTCTCCCTGACTCCCCTCCCCTCGGTGTCCATCCCTGCCCTTCAATCTTAGTCGTGGTGTTTATGCTGTGGTGTTGAGTGAATGAACCAAAGCCAACGCTGGTTGCAGCGGTTGATTGCAGTGCATACAGGAAGCACAGAAAAGTGCAGCATAGGTGGGAATTAAACTCCAGTCGGACTACTATAATGAAAACAAAATGTGCTGCTCTTCCTACATACGAGTGCTTCACAGAAGCAGAGAAGCATTAAGTTTTGGCACTGATCGGTTCCTCCTGAAGGTGCAATCAAACAATGCGGTTCTGCTCCTACAGTTCACGTTACACCACCTTTGCAGAGTTCACACTGCTACCATGAATAAATCTCCTTAAGAAAAATAAATAAATAAATAAAAAATAATCTTCAGCTGCAGGACGTAATGGAAACAAGGAAGAAAGCAAGGGAAACACCCCCCAAGTGTAACAATTTTACACTTTGTTGGAAAAAACCTTTTCCACTTCCCTTCAACTCTTATTGAACACATCCGTTCATGAGATCAGGCCAACTTCCAATCAATGTTTTAGATTAAAAGAAAAAGAACCTTTAATGATGCTCTTGTAGCTATTTAAACTTTTCCTAATGCCGAAAAACTAAATAAAAGTGGACCAAAAATAACAAAATCCCTCAGTGAAAACAAACTTTGTCTTTCAGGAGCCAGCGCTGTATCCGACAGCTCATCGCTCTTGCGAGGGAGAAAACTAGGACAGTATGTGGTAAACAGTTGGGTTTGGGTTGGAGAACATTTTGGATCTCTTCTAAATATTATTGCTTTGGCATATATGCCTTTAATTGATAGCTGCGGCAGAGACGGACAGAAAATGTGGTATGTGTGTGTGTGTGAAGGAGGGGGGGCATGCAACAAAAGGTCAGGAGTTGCGGTAATGTGGCATGTTAGTATTGTCAATGCTTGAGGAATCCTGCGATGATTTACAGCCCTGGAGTTAGAGAGAGATGAAGACATGATCTTTGAAACGACTTGTTCTGCGCTGTGCTCTGCCTATCTGCATATTTTTGACTGACCGCTAAAATGTGGAGGTGTATTTCCAAACCAGCTGCGCTCTCTCTGCGGCCCATCATTACATTGCATTAGTTTGCATATCCCAGGAGCGTGTGGCTGGTCTAATACAGTATCCATTTCTCTCTGAATCACTGCCAGAACCCATTCGACTGGGTATATCCACTATTTATAATCACGTATGTTTGCCAAGTGAATGTTGCATAAGAAGAAAGGAGTCGCGTTACAATTCAGTAATGGCAACATTTACATTTAAACTACATAAAAATATTGACCAATATTCCTCGACGCAGACTGTGCATTACACAGTGATGCTGAATGTTCCTGTGTCAGATATTATCGTTGTACTGAACTGCAGACCCAATTTGCAGTGTAACACTTACAGTTTTACACTTAAGTTGTACATGTATGATGCATGATTTGCATAGTGCAAATAATGAAAACGGTGACATTTGACATGCTGTGTTATATGACAGAGTCCTACCAGAATGTGGGAATTGCATCTTGCATAAACTTAGCATTAGGTTTTGAGGCTTTGCACCAACCAAGTGCCAAATGGCCATATCGTGCACTGGTGAACGCATACTTAAAAGCAAGTATATGTTCAGACTTGGAGCTTTTTCACTGGAAACAGCTGCGCGACGCAGCTCAAAGCGGAGCCAGAAGAAAAAGGCAGTTTCAAAAGTTCTTTTATTTGTGAATGAACAGGTAGCCACTCATGGTATTTTTAAGAGGTGTTGATTGTACCGAGGATGTAATTTCCCGAGCACACACCTTCTGGACCGTGGACTTATGGCATTTGTCAGGCTGAAGCAAGTGATTTAGTACGAGCTGGCAAAGAGAGTTTGGCAAATTCATTTTAGAGAATCCCATGAACCAACATCACAGAAAAAAAGGCCAATGGGATTGATTATTGAAAAATGAACAGTGAACTTTATGTTCGACTTGCATCGCTCTTTCTTCTCACACTGGGACTTTGGAAGTTCTTTTTTTATGACAGTTTTAGATTTATCTATTTTTTTGTGTGTGTTTTTGAATCACGCATTTTGAAATTGAGTGGTGTTCTCCTTTAAAGACACAGCAGCAGTAGTGGTGGCAGCAGCACAGTAGTAGAGCACCATCTGATAGTCATTACCCCTCCCCTCTCCTCCCCCATCCCTTCTCCTCCTCTTCTCCTCTCGCTTGATACTCTTTGCTCAGCTCAGACGTATTATTCATTAGTCTGATGAAAAACACCCACCATCTTAGTAGGGCCCAGCCTCGCGCACACACACACATACACACACTCTCAGTCAGAATAAGTGAAGTGAACAACTCTGGCACAGGTCAGGGACCTGTCAAAACTCGGAAGCAGGTCTGGACTCGATACCGTACCAGAGAGCAGGCGTCTAGCAGGGGAAAGACACTCCAAGGAACTGAGCTATTTATTGTAGTCCTCGGATAATTGTTTCTATAGCCTCCACCGAAACTGATAGAAAGAGGGAAAAGGGGAAGATCTCTGTTATGATGCCACTAAGCAGACGTCTGGACTGGGTCATTACCAAAAGTAAGTGTGTGCTCTCCGCAGCAGGGAGCGCACAAATAATGACAATGGGAAGAAGAGTAGAGATAGAGAGAAAAGAAGGTGGGAAGGTGGAAAGCAGGACAGGGAAGAAAAGTAGGATGGAAAAGGGGGAAGTGAATGGGGGGGGTGTCAAAGAAGACGAAGAGGAGAGAGCTGGTGGCAGCCTGCCAGCGCTCCGGACTGCAAAGTGTATTGTATGGGGAAAATGGTCGGAAGTGCTCGCCCCCCCAACTTGCAGCCCCCACCACCACTAGCCCCAATTTCAGCCTCATTCAGCCTCAGCGCCAGCCACACTCTACTGTGTTTCCCAAGAGAGCCAGACTCTACAGCTGGCCTTATTAAACTGAGAGAGGCAGAGAGACAGAAAAAAGACCGGGAAGGAAAGAGAGGTCACACAACTGGAAGACATCAGTCGAAACTGCGCTCGCTCTCTTAGTTTTTTCCGTTCATATCCCGTTTTATGATAGAGTTTCTCACAAACACGCTTGCGGTGCACTGGGTTCAAGCGTGTAGTAAAAAGCTATTGTTTGATTTGACATCCCTCAGAACGCTGTAAAACAATGAAAGAAATGCTGGGAAATTAAAGTCTGTGTGACTTTTATCTCGTTTGTCTGAGTGCGTCTGAAGGCTGTCGTCATACATCTGAGCCCTGCTGTATGAGCATGTCTCCTTTTAGTTTGTGAACACAGTGGGCCAATAAAAGAAACTTTGAGAGACGGAAATCTGCTTCTAATCCTTTATCTTGTGGTCGTTTTGAATTTGCTTCATTTCTACTGCATTCTGAGTTTCTGTTCCACCTTGACGGGGTTTTCATCAGATGCCTTTACTTTAAAATAACACAATTAGGTTAATTCACAC